AGCCATAACACTTTTTGACATGGCCTTCGCTTTTTGTATTTGTCATATTGCCTGTGACCTTTCATATTTACTCTTGTGCCCTATATCAATGAAGGCATATTGTGGTTCATCTCTCTAACAATACCAGTCTACTTAGCTTGCCTAAGCTACCCTCTGCAGGACTTCCTAGTCCATGAATATAGTAACGTAAGCTTGAACAACTAACCTGCAATGTTCTCTAACACCATTATTGCCTATCTTACGCTAATCCAGTTTCTATTGTTTACCAACAATCAACCTAGATATAACTCGTTGTTAAGTGTTTAAAAATTTTTACAAAATGTGCAAAGTTTTTTCCACTACCTAACTAACGTAAACCTTTGTTTAACTCTGCATACTCTGGTTATTGTGGCACGGTGCGCTTTATGTGAAATTCCATGCACAAATAAAATAAAGAATTAAAAAAAAAAAAAAGCTTCTTTATTTAAACCAGTTATCAATAGCTAAGAGGTACTTAAACAATATTGTAATTCTGGGGCAATACCCTCACAAGTCAAACTGAGAGGTCAGTTTATAGGGAAAACTGTTGCCTGGATACAGTTCTAAAACAATTTCCATATGTCCTTTGCAGACTTTACAATTTAAATTTTTCAGTGATTTTAAACATGTGAATAAAAAAATATTTTAAAAAGTGTATAAATATCAAAAAGCAAGCTTAAAAAAATGAAAAACCCAACTCTGAAGCATGTTTGTCATTCTAGATGTTCAGTTGGCCTGCAAAAGAATAATGACTTATTAAAGTATACCGCACAAGTTTTACATAGGTTGCCATTATACTGTATATTAAATATTTGGAGATACAATTTAGATTACTTGCACTTTGAATCTTTAACACTCCACACAGCATTACCACTCCAGCTTGACAACTTTCCATGGGATGAAGTTACCAGCAGGCCCCCAGGTGCCTGAGGCTCCTGTTCAGGACCTGCCAGCATAGGCGTGCGCAGCCTATTGCATTAGGGTGTGCACCCTAAAGCACAAGCACACGCCGCGTATATATATATGTATGTATGTGTATATATATATATATATATATATGTGTATATATATATATATATATATATACACATACACATACACATATATACACACATACACACACTGCTGTGTGTGTGTGTGCTGTGTGAGGGTGCTGTTAGTGTGATGTGTGTGTGACGGTGCTGGTAGTGTGCTATGTGGGTGAGGGTGTTTGTGTGCTTGTGAGGATGCTGTTAATGTACTGTGTGTGAGGGTGCTGTTTGTGTGTGTGTGTGTGTGTGCGCGCACTTGTGAGGGTGCTGTTAATGAACTGTGTGTGAGGGTGCTGTTTGTGTGTGAGGGTACTGGAAGTGTGCTGTGTGTGTGTTTGTTAGGGTCCTGTTTGTGAGGGTACTGTTAGTGTGCTGTGTGTGTGTGTGAGGGTGCTGTTTGTGTGCTGTGTGTGAGGGTGCTGTGTGTGTTTGTAAGGGTGCTGTATGTGTGTGTGGGTGCTGTATATGTGTTGGTGCTGTGTATGTCTGTGGGTGCTGTGTATGTCTGTGGGTGCTGTGTATGTGGGTGCTATATGTGTGTGGGTGCTGTGTATGTCTGTGGGTGCTGTGTATGGGTGCTGTATGTCTGTGGGTGCTGAATGTATGTGGGTGCTGAATGTATGTGGGTGCTGAATGTATGTGGGTGCTGTATGTGTGGGTTGTGTATGTCTGTGGGTGCTGTGTATGTGTGTGTGTGGGTGCTGTATGTGTGTGGGTGCTGTGTATGTCTGTGGGTGCTGTATGTATGGGTGGGTGCTGTATGTATGTGGGTGCTGTATGTATGTGGGTGCTAATGTGTGTGGGTGCTGTGTATGTCTGTGGGTGCTGTGTATGTGTGTGGGTGCTGTGTATGTCTGTGGGGTGCTGTATGTGTGTGGGTGCTGTGTGTGTATGGGTGCTGTATGTGTGTGTGGGTGCTGTGTATGTCTGTGGGTGCTGTATGTGTGTGGGTGCTGTGTATGTCTGTGGGTGCTGTATGTGTGGGTGCTGTATTTATGTGGGTGCTGAATGTGTGTGGGTGCTGTGTATGTCTGTGGGTGCTGTGTATGTCTGTATGTGTGTGCTGTATGTGTGTGTGGGTGCTGTGTATGTGTGTGGTGTGCTGTATGTGTGTGGGTGCTGTGTATGTCTGTGGGTGCTGTATGTGTGTGGGTGCTGTGTATGTGGGTGCTGTATGTATGTGGGTGCTGTATTTATGTGGGTGCTGAATGTGTGTGGGTGCTGTGTATGTCTGTGGGTGCTGTGTATGTGTGTGGGTGCTTTGTATGTCTGTGGGTGCTGTATGTGTGTGGGTGCTGTGTATGTCTGTGGGTGCTGTATGTGTGTGGGTGCTGTGTATGTCTGTGGGTGTTGTATGTGTGTGTGCTGTATGTGGGTGGGTAATTGTGGGGGTGGAGGTGGGGGTACATTAATTGCTATCCCTTCTCCCTTCTTACCTTTTGTAGGGAGGGGGGATCGTGCTGCTGATTCCATCCCTGGTGGTCCAGTGGAGAGTGAACTCTAGCCCCCTGTGGGGCTAGAGTTCACTCTCGCGAGATTTGAGCGTTGCCGTGGCAACGCTCATATCTCGCGAGAGGAACCCGGTGGAGCTGCCGGCAATAGCTCCGCCAGGTCCTCTCCTGCCTCCCTCCCTGCATGTGGGTCGGTGGGGAGGGAGGCCGAGAGCAGAGCCGGCGCTCGGATGGCGCCGGCTCTGCATGAGCCGACAGGGGAGATCCTGAGATCTCCCTTGCCGGTCTCAATATGCATAGGCGTGCCGCGGGATTAGGGTGTGCCCAGGCACACCCGGCACACCCCGTGTGCACGCCTATGCCTGCCAGCACAGGAAGGTGCTACCAACACCCAGTGGAACCCAGGTAAGTTGTCAAATTGCAAGCTGACTACTTACACTGGGAGGGCTCCAGGACACACCTGGGACCATAATCTTTATCACTACTCTACAGGCTGTACCATTTATAGTGTTTGCGATTTAAGTAAGTTATTCTTAGTGAACTTTACATGCTGGAAAAACACAGGTGCCAACTGCTGTGACTTTCTGCAGTGCGCAGACTGGCAAGGAGGGCAGGGTTGAGGAGTGGGTAGAAGATGATGTGGAGGATTATGAGGTCCTAGACCCCACATGGAATAAAGGTCATGCGAGCGACGTGTGCAGTTTGGAGGAAGAGGTGGTGGTCGCACAGAGGCACCAGCACAGCATAAGAGGGAGCAGGGTGCAAAAGCGGAGCAGCCATCTCCTAAACAGTACGCCTGCTACTGCCCACCGCACTCAGGGACCAAGCACACCAAAGCCAGCTCCAAGGAGTTCCCTGGCGTGGCAGTTCTTCACACAATATGCTGACGACAAGACACGAGTGGTTTGCACGCTGTGCAATCAGAGCCTGAAGCATAAACGTTCTAAACCTGAGCACAACCTGCATGACCAAAGCGCGAGCTGCAGTGGAGTAAGCTCCTCAAAAACTAAGAAAGGTCTCAGGCTCTTCCTGCTTCCTCTTCTGTTGCTGTCTCTGCCTCTTCCTCCACCTCTTCCTCCACCCCGCAAACAGAGAATGTGGCAACAATGCCACCACATCTGCCACCGTCCCCAAGCATCTCCACACTGTCCCATGGAAGTGTTCAGCTGTCCATCTCCCAAACACTGGAGAGAAAGAGGAAGTACCCCCCTACCCACCCGCGATCCCTGGCCCTGAATGCCAGCATTTTAAAATTCCAGTCCTTTGAAATGCTGTCATTCTGTCTGGTGGAGACGGACAGTTTTAAAAACCTGATGGCATTATTGGACTGCAAGAAATGCACCGCAGGCCGCAAATGTTTCTTTTTTTATATGTCCCAATATTTTGGGGGCTACCCCAATAAAAAAAAACAAATAAAAAAAAAACAGTGTTGGCTACCTCTTCCTCCTCCACCGCCGCTTCCACCTACACCTCCACGGTCACCGCCTCCTCAACCTCCTACTCCACATCTACCTCCTCCTCCTAGTTCAAGATTATTATTTTTAATTTTTATGTATTTTATGTTATTTTAAGCTATTTCCCTATCCACATTTGTTTGCAGGGCACTTGCCCTACTCTTACCCCCATTTTACTTCCTTTTGAAGCCCTCTAGCCCTTTCCAGGACTTTTTTTAGAGGCATTTTAGTGCCCAAAAGTTTGGGTCCCCATTGACTTCAATGGGGTTCGGGTTCGGGGTCAAGTTTGGGTCAAGTTCGAGCCCGAACTCGTACTTTTTGACGAAGTTCAGCCGAACTCGGCGAACCCGAACATCCATGCGTCTGCTCAATTCTAATGATAATATATTGCATTTAGTTAGAATACCAATATGCTTTGTGACACCCCATCATAGAGACACGAAGCATATGTGGATAAAGTATTAACTTAAAAATATATAATAATATAAAATAATGTTAAAACTAGACATTACCATAATACTTAAGTATAGGAGTGATATGCAAGTTAAAACCACATGGAACTGACCATTCATAAGAAATCCAACAATATAGACCAGAAATGACAAAACATAATTTAGCAGTTAAGCCCCCCAAAAAATATTGAATGTACTGCTGTTAATTAATCTTGGGAACATAATTTGTTTAATTAAGCGATGCGGAGAGAGCTGAGCAGGAAGAGCTCAGGTGAGTATGCTCCCTCGCTGCCCGATGCCAGCCTCGGGGCTCAAAAGTGGCCAGCTCTTGAGCCCCCCAGGACACGAGGCAAGCAAGGATCTGCCTGGGCGTTTTGGGATGGCTTTTTTTGCCGCCCCCTGCAAAGTGCCGCCCTGTTCATATATATATACATCCCTGTATATATATATGAACAGTGGGGGCCGCGGCCACCAAACTGCATGGGTCCCTTAGAGCTGAATCCTTTCTATCCCCCCGATGGTAGCCCTGCATATAGCTATGCTATTTGTTTTGAATATTTTTATTGTTTTCACAATATAAGTGCATAATGTGAACTGGTTCATAGTAAAGCAAAAGGTTGCCCACGCAGGGGCTTAAACAGTAATTTATAGCATTCGTTAAGGTGAAAGGTCGCCTGCGTAGGGGCTTAAATGTTAGCACATAGGAATAAATGCAGATTATCGCCTGCGCAGAGGCATATTGATCAGAACACACAGGCGTATTTAAACTTTTCAGGAATACACTTCGAATCATTACAGCATAAATTGCAGGCACTGAGCTAATACTGCGCACCAGGCTGTCTACGCTTAAATGTTAAGCTTCTTGGTCATGTCCTTTATAACAGCGGTTTGTGGGTCGTATGGACCTATTTCGCTCCAGCGGTGGCTGAGCATGATCACACGTAGCTGTATGAGGCAGATACCGCTAGTGTGATGTGATGATCAGACAGCGTGGATCGGTTTAATAAATCCTAGGTGGGTGCAGTTTGACCGTGTCTAACTAGACCTGAACCTGTTGGTCAGCTGCAATCTTTGCATATTACCACTTATTTAAGTTATGCCTATCTGGTCAGAAAATAAAGTGTGCAGCTGGATTAATCGTGTATGTAGATACGATATGCCGCTGTTCCTTGATAAGCTAATATGGTTACGAAGGTATACCGCCATATCTTGGGTGCTTCAGTTTAGTTATCCACTGATGGGTGCAATTCAACTGCGTCGAGGTAAGCCTAAACCTGTGTACCATAGCAAACTAACGTATATGTGCTGCAGCATAAACAGCGTGTCCACGCCTATTACAATATATTAGGTAATAAATGAGTTAGGGTATAACAGTAAGCAAATTCTGTATGATGTTCATGGCTCATTGCAGAGAGAAACAGTAGTATGTCTAACTCCCGCAAAACCCATATAAGATTTAGAGCTTGAGTCACTTCTCTGGAGGGGGCGTAATGGCGCTCGGTGTGGCGATATGGTCCTTTGTGGACTCGTCATCTCCCATGATTGTATTTCTGCAGGCTTCTCTCTGGTGTGTCCTCATCATGGTTGCTGCAGGGCAAGCATGTACATGGTGAGTTAACTGTGTCCACCTGGGTCTTCCCGGTTCCCCCAGCTGTGGCCGAGCCCCCCCTGCGCCCCATCAAGGCATGCTTCGGTGTCTTTTAGGGAGTTCCACCTCGCCGTGGGCACTCAGAGATCGGAGCCATTCGGCGGTCTCCCCCCCGTAGAGTCCGCGTGGTCTCGGTCTCCTGCACCTCCCCAGCCTCAGTAGGGCCTCCCTGGAGCTCTAGCCCTGTCTTGCCTCTCCCATCTCCGGCCACTTACATGACGCCGGCACGCGCCCCCCGGCCACCGGTCCGCCGGCAGGCACGCGCATCTCAGCTCCACCGGGCTCGCGGAATTGGGGGCATATTTCCCCGGACCACCACCAAATCCAGGAATCAGGGCCGGCTCCTTGTCGACCAGTCCACAGCCCGGAAGGGCCCAGCTGTGGGCTCAGCCACCCCAGGGGCCGCGGCGCTCCAGCGCGGATCTCTGCTGCGTGTATGTGTTGTGCCAGTCAGCCATTTTAGCTCTGTACAAGAAGGCATCTCGCTCCGAGCACGCTTCCACCTCCAGCTTTGAAAGTTCTGACTTTTGGGCCGGGATCACCCCCCCGGCCGGGTGGGGGGGGAGCGGGGCCGATCCATGTCTCCTGTGCCGTCCGTGTGCGCTGTGAACCGCATTCATGCAGCATGTCTCAGATCTCTGGGTTCGTCATGTTTACTCGGCATGTGTCTCCGCTCCTTTCTCCTCGGTTCCTCTCCCCCTGATCTTGCCTCCGGTTGCGGTGCTCATATCGTGGGTATGTTTTGGGGTTTTTTCCCCGGCATTTTATGCGGTTTATGCGGTTTATAGCCGGAGCCGGCATGGACAGCAGCCGCTCGGCTCGGCGGCCCGGCCCCGCCCCCCAGCTATGCTATTTGTAGCATAACACTGTTATTCTCTCATAGAGGCAAATAGACATCCATGAACAAAACAGTCAGCAATTGGGTTCTATTCCATAAAATATCCTGAGAAAATTTACAGATGTGATTGTTTGGATTGCACACGTTGGGGTACTACTGTTAGCTTAAAATTATATACTATTTGTGAAACCAAACACTTACTTACCAAAATATCCTTGAGAATATTTACATTGATCAAACATGCACATTTGCTAAAGTTCAATCTGATGACAATGAAAAGGTCACAAACTCGGAGACATGTTTTATAACATAGAGATTTTTTTTCCCCAAACACAGAACTGAAAACTAGATTGCCAACATTATATGCAAAATTAGAGATTTTAAAATAAATATGCCTCCCACTCAGCTATAACCAGGTTTGGCTATTTTAACTTCATTGTTCTATGAGTTTTCAATTCAGTATAATTCACTGTTTAGGCAATTTAGTGAATAATCCCTATCCCTACTATTAGTTATGTCTCTTTATGAAGAGAGTGGATTATATTCTAAATTATATGCTGACTGTTGTGCTTGTTTCGGATAATAGGTTTGACAAATCTGCCATATTTTGTCATTCCTTTGTTTCATTTCATTCCTGGAAAAGCTAGAAAGAGTATCAGTACAGGGGCTGATGCAAGATTTTGTGCCAAAAGGATAAACTGACAGTAAGTAAAACGTTTATCAGAGGTTAGGTCCTAAGCAATGATTCAATGTTGTTATGTTAGGGAAAGGTAACTGGAATTCACAAAGAAATAAGCTTAGGATGTGGATAAATGAAGAAATGATGCAGGGACAGGCAGCACATCAAATCAAAGGTAGTGCAGCAATATGACATCTAAACATAGGTTACAGTGTTGTGTACAGTGGCCTTTTTTTTTGCCCATGCACAAATCAATTTGTATGTCACAATGTATATAAAAGTGAACCAACTCTATGCTCTGTAGATTCCTAAAACGTCACCTAAGCATAATCACAGTACATTTATTTGTTTACATTCTTTATGCCGTTGCTATGTATATCACTGTCTTTTTGTTTCCATGTAGTTGTGCAATCTTAAGTCACTGCTTTTAGCAAAAAGATATTTAAAGGACTTGCAACTTGAGTGCAACCATGTCTGTTTACCCTCCTTTCCCACTAACTGTCCCTGGTCTATGAATGGCTTGTCATACAAAATAGACATACATCGGAATGTCTGGTGATGTTTATATTGGTTGGAGGATGCTGAAATTTGATATATAAATATATCAAGTGTTATGCAAGATTAGAGTATCATATAAAGATCTGAGCATGTGGTTATATGAAACTCATTATTCAATGCTTTGAAGTCTTTGGAAACACACTTATGCTGTTTTGCTATCTGCTCTTGTATAAAAAAACACAAGGATTAAAAATGAATATGTACAGAATGGTGTTAGTACAAAATCAAAATTTGACCAATGTAATGCTACGAAGGCCATGCAAATGACATTCATTGAGGCATTTAAACTAATGTTTGCGGTGGCCAGAAACAAACCTAATACCGATTTCAGGCAAATGCAGCAAATTGGATTCCTATCAACACAAGTGCATTGCAAGTAGTGGATGTAGGGGAAGGATCAGGACTAGTACAGGATGGGGTAGGTAGTGGGTGCGGGGGGAGGGATAAGACATGTAGTGGATTCAGGGGGAATTTGTGATGTAGTGGTCACAGGGGGGATAGAGACTGTGGTAGATGCAGGGGGGATAGAAGCTGCAGTGGGAAAGATGCTGGAGTGGCAGATTTATTCTATTTTGGATGCAAAGGGTATAGGGGCTGTCGTGGGTGCATGGGCTCTAGGAGCTGTAATAGGTGCAGGGGAATGACAGTATAATTACACTGGAAAATAATGTGGAATAATGAATTATATGTGGTAATCCAGGTTAAAGGTTGTGGGATGCCCCAGGATAAATTGGACTGGCCTCAAGGAGATAGTTATTATTATTATTATAATTTTATTATTTATATAGCGCCAACAAATTCCGTAGCGCTGTACAATGGGTGAACTAACAGACAGTGACCAGCGCAGAATCCAGACTGAAGGGGGTCAAGCAGAGAGTTGGATTCGAGAAAGTCTGTCAATCTGGCGTAGACAACTCTCTGGAGGATCTTGGAGGCAAATGGCAGTAGCGAGATAGGGCGGTAGTTGGATGGGGAGTTGGGATCAAGGTTGGGCTTTTTCAGAATTGGGGTTACGGTTGCATGTTTGAAGGCAGAGGGAAATGTGCCAGAGGAAAGGGAGAGATTGAAAATGTTAGCGAGAGGAAGAGCAAGAGAGGGAGACAAAGTGTGGATGAGATGCGAGGGAATAGTATCGAGGGAGCAGTTGGTGGTGCAGGAGGACAGGAGCAGAGCAGAAACCTCTTGTGCTGTAGCAAGTGCAAATGAGCATAGGATGGCAGGGGGAGTGGGGTTGGGTGATGTATTGATACTGGTAGGAGAGAGATTAGAGATCTCTTTCCTGATTGTAGAGATCTTCTCAGTGAAATGAGATGCAAAGTTTGTGGCGGACAAGGTGGTGGAAGGAGGGGGAGTCATAGGTCGAAGAAGAGCATCAAAAGTGTGGGACAGTGTGCTTATGAGGGTGTTGAAGTAGTTTACTTTTGCAGAGGAAAGAGCCATGCTGTAGGAGCGCAGCATAAATTTATAGTGGACAAAGTCAGATGCAAAGTGAGACTTTCTCCAGCAGCGTTCAGCAGTTCTGGAACATTTTTGGAGGTAACGGGTCAGCTTGGTGTGCCAGGGTTGTAGTTGGGGGCGCTTGCTGCGTTTAACTGTAGGAGGTACCATGATGTCAAGTTGAGAGGAGAGAGTGGAGTTGTAGAGTGAGGTTGCAGAGTTGTGATTTGAGATGGGTAAAAGGAGTGTTTGGAGTTTGGTGGAGAAGTGCTTGAGATCGAGGGAGTTGAGGTTTCTGCGAGGTTGGAGAGTTGATGGTGGTGAAATTTTGGTACGGGGTATGCAGATGTTAAATGTTAGAAGATGGTGATCAGACAAAGGAAATGGAACAGTGGCGAGATCACAGGTGGTACAGAGATTGGTGAAGATGAGGTCAAGAGTGTTTCCTGCAGTGTGAGTTGCTGAGGAAGAAATCTGTGTGAGTCCAAAGGAGGAGGTTACAGAGAGCAGATGAGAGGCATCAGGGCAGTTGAGCTTGTTGATAGGGATATTGAAGTCCCAAAGTATGAGAGAGGGAGTGCTAGAGGAAAGAAAGTGGGGTAACCAGGAGGAAAAGTGTTCAATGAATAGTTTAGGGTGACTGGGGGGGCGATAGATGATGGCAATTCTTAAAGGAGTGGGCTTAAAAAGGCGTACAGTGTGAACTTCAAAGGAAATAAAGGATAGGGCAGGGTCAGGGAGGATAGGTTGAAAGGTACATTGAGGGGAGAGAAGGATGCCTACACCACCTCCCTTACAGTCGAGTCTAGGAGTATGGGAGAACTGTAGACCACCGAAACATAAAGAAGCAGGAGTAGCGGTATCGGATGGGGACAGCCAGGTCTCAGTGAGTGCCAGTATTGTGAGTGAGTTAGAGATGATGTAGATTTGATATTACTACAAACGGAGCGAGCATTCCAGAGTGCACACTGAATTTTGGTAGATGAGGATAAACTGCAGGGTATTTGGAGGAGGTTTGCATGGTTTCTGGTTATTTTAGTGTGAGCAGATGAGGTGAGGGGCCCTGGGTTGGGAGAGATGTCACGAGCTACCAGAAGTAGGAGGAGAGATAGAGACAGGAGGTGTGAATGGGTTTTATATGGGCAGCGACTAGGGTGAGATTGGGTTAGAGCAGGAGAGAGAGAATAGAGAAATGAGTGCAGGGCTTGAGATGAGAGAAGGGGGGAGTGTAGCAGAGAGGGATTAATATAAATGTGAGTGTGTTGTTGAGGGAAGTGGGTGGAAGGGGATATTTTGAGGGAGATGAGAGAGAAGGAGAGGAGGAGAATATAGAGCATTGCTCTGATTGGTAGGTAATTAGAGGAAAGGAGAATGAGCAGAA